CACACGAAAAAGAAGCACTATGACGGGTGCTGGTGGCACCAGCTCAGTCGACAGAGCGCTTGCCTGGGATGCATGAAGCCCTCGGTTCCATCCCCAACACGGCATAAACCAGCTGTGGTCTATGCCTGTAATCCCAGCACACCTATAATCCCAGCAGCTGTGTGTGGGAGAAGCGGGGGAGAGGCAGGAGGATCAAGAGTTCGAAGTCATCTTTGGTTACAAAGTGAGTTCAAGGCCAGCTTAGACTACCTGCGACTCTGTCTAAAACAAAAGGCATCACCGAGAGCAAATGTGCAGGTGATGAGCCCACGGAGGGCAGAAGCCAGGGAATGCTGGGAGACCAGAGCTAGGAAATACTTCTCTCCGGGCGGCGCACGCCTTTAGTCCCAGCACTCGGGAGGCAGAGCCAAGCAGATTTCTGTGAGTTCGAGGCCAGCCTGGTCTACAGAGCAAGATCCAGGAAAGGCACCAAAGCTACACAGAGAAACCCTGTCTCGAAAAAACAAAAAACAAAACAACAACAACAACAAAGAAGTACTTCTCACCGGGCTGATACATTGAGGAGGGGTCAGAGTTTTCATTAAAAGAGTGATGATGAAGCCTAACATTATCCTCACTGTTCTCGCTTTAGAGATGGGAAAACTCAGAGAGGCTCAGTAACTTACCCAGGGTAACCCAGCAAGCAAGTGGCAGAACTAGGCCTGGTGGGCGGGCCGTGAGAATGACGCCAGAGATCCTAGCCATCTCTGTCCCTTCTGCCTCCGTCCTTCCTTCCTTCCTGGCAGGATGAGCCAGGGTCCTTGGTCCTACACTGCTCTGCTCAGAAACAACAAATAATCCTGGAGGTTTGGAGAGAAATGCAGGAACTCCAGTCTGGAGCGGACGCTGTCAGTGTGCAGTGACCTACCTGTCGCTCTGGATGGTGGCCACAAGAGCCACACGTTCAATGAAACCAGGCCAAAGCCTTAGCTCCCACCGCCCAGAGCTTTGAACAACCAGAGACAAACCCTTCCTGGCCCCTGCTCACACACCTGCCCACCTGCGGGCCGCGGGTCCTGCCGACCTCGGCAGTGCCGGCTTGGAGCGGTGCAGTGCCGCCATCTATCGGCCTCTCGCTGAACTGCTTCCCCAGCCGCCGGGTAGGGCTAACCCAGCCTGTCCCAGGAGGCGTGTGCTGCCCGCCTGCTGCCCGCCGGCTGCTGGGGGGCGCCTGTCCTACCAGGCCCGCCCAGAGGGACAGTCAGCGACCACAGATGGCTACCCAACACACCCGACTCGCCCAGGCATCCACAGAGAGTCCTTTTGGCTTTGGAGATGGTGTGGTCCCCAAGTCTCAGGGTTCCGAGGTTCCCTGGGTGGGCAGTGCACGGACGCACAGGGCAGGGGCAGGTAGGAGAGAGAGCAGCTGAAAGGGCATTTCAGGGACCTCGAGAAGGGATTTTTACCGGTTCAGACCCAAGCTGCCCTGAAAAGTGGGCTTAGGAGTGATGGCTGTGGTTTTGTCTTTGACTGTGTGTGTGTGTGTGTGTGTGTGTGTGTGTGTGTGTGTGTGTGTGTGTGTGTGTGTGTGTACACGTGCTCCTTCAGGCCAGAGGTCAACTCTGAAGTCTTCCTCAATCACTCTCCACGGTCTGCCACTGATTCTGGAGTTTGTGTGTCTGGCGAGGCTGGCTAGCCAGGGAGTCCCAGGGAACCTCCTGTCTCCACCTCCTCCGTGCTGAGACTGTGACTGCAGCCCTGGGCCTGGCTTTAATGTGGGTGCTGGAAACCTGGACCCAGGTCCTCGTGTCTGCACAGCAAGCCCTTTGGTAACTGAGCCGTCTCCCAACTTCTCCCTCCTCTTTAAGCGTAATTGAAATTCCCTACTTTTCCTCAAGGCCCATCTGGAAATACAATTTTTATTTGTAAATCGGTCTCAAGGTCAATTTGCTTTTAAGTGGAAGCATAATCATCTTAGAATAGAAAGGGACACTTTCTTGCACAGACGAGGAAAAATCAGCTCACGGACGTGCCCAGTGTCACAGGAGTGGCTGGGGGCCAACATGAACTAGAACTTCCAGCAAGAAGGAGCCTCTCCTGTGAGGAGGGCAGGACCTTCCCTGACTCTAAAGCAGGAGCTGTTACCCACAGCACCTGGTTTTCTATGTCTGTCGCTCCCATGTGTCACAGGGACTGGAAGTTTATAGTCTTGTTCGCTAAGGTGGTCTCAGTGTCTCTGATAGCACACGGTAGGCTTGTCCGTGAACACATGCTGAATGAATGAATGGAATGAACTGGGCAGAGCTCCCTGGAGAATGTGAGGTGTGCATTCATTTTTTGTTGTTGTTTTTTTTTTTAAGCAGTGGCACAAACTGAGGACATATGCTAGCCCAGCATGCACAGCGCCCCGTACTCAGTTCAGCCACAAGCCCTGTATAAACCCAGTGTGGTGGCACATGCCTATAATCTTAGTACTTAGGAGGCGAAGGCAGGAGGCTTGAGGTCATCCTGCGCTACATGAAAGTTCACGGCCAGCCTGGGCTACACGAAACCCTGAGGAAAGAAAGGGGTGGGGAGGGAAAAACAAAGGAAAAACGGCCATAGTGATGAGAAGCCAGATAGCACCCGCAGTTGAGGGATGGCCCAGGGCTGATACAATATATCAGCGTGCTCAAGTACTTGTAGCGGAGGCTAGACCAACAAAACAGCGTGAATCACCTTCCTCTATATCCAGATTTCTGAGTTTATGTCCAACTCCTGGTCCTGGTTCCCTGTCTCATCCTGAGAATGGGACAGAAGCGAGGGAAAGCCCCTCTCTAGATTCACTGGGGACAACAGGCCTGAGAAGGGCCATCCTGAAGCCTCCCTCTTGCTCATGTCCCGAGGAGACATTGATATCTGTCATAACAGCTCACTCTCCCAGGCTCCTAATCTAGAGACATACAGAGAGAAAATTTTAGAAACAGTGAAGCCAAAGGGAAGTGGTGAGGAGGCCCAAGTGCACACAACCCTTTAATACTGTTCCTCATGCTGTGGTGACCCCAACCATAAAATTATTTTGTTGCTACTTCACAACTGTAATTTTACTACTGTTACGAATCAGTAATGTAAATATTTTTGGAGATACAGGTTTGTCAAAGGGGCTGTGACCCACAAGTTGAGAACCACTGCATTAGGCTGTAATGACCACACTGAACAATTGTATCCACCTACTGTGTTTTAATTACAGACATCAATGCTTGAAAGAAAAAATGAATCTTTTTTTTCAACAGAAGGAATAGTTAAATAATTCCTGGAAGAGAAATATTAATTTGTCTGGAAAATTCCCTCAAAAGGAAAAGCTTTTTGTTGTCTGGAATATTACCTAATGCTATCTGCCAAGGAGGCCGGAAGTCCTGCACACCTCCCTCCGAGCACAGTCAGAAAGGAAACACACCCATATTGTGTGCCTGTATGCCAAGCCCTGGCCTGTGGTCCTCAGACTCACTGTCTGGGGGGACACAAACAGGGCCACCTGTAGATCACAGTCACAGACAGCTACAGAAAACTTCCCACAACAGACCGCTCATCCATGACAGCTCACCCCTCGGCACTGGCCTCTGCCTATGTCAGGCTCATCTGTGACAGGGACATCCTTAGGTCTGCCATGTCTTTGGAAAGTGGGGTACACAAGCTAGCCTGGTGTCCTGCTCTCTCTTCTCTCTGGCACCTCATGCCCGGTCATGACCAGAACTGAGCCTCGCTTTGGACTCTGAACTTGGGGCTTGTTGCGAGGCTCTAGAAAGCCCGTTAGCACCAAACCCTAAAGAATGGGCATACTGGGGAGGGCGGGGCCAGGAAACCTAAGACGGAGTCTTTGTTTCTGGTTTCTGAAGGAGAAATAGGGATTCAAACCGGAAGATCACAAAAGAGAAAAAGATACGAGGCAAGTCCAAAGGAATCAGAGGGGTGAAATGGAGAGAGACGGAGAAAAAGAAAGAGGAAGTCGGGGGAGACGAAGGGTGGGAAGAACAAGAGAGAGACAAAGAGATGGGGACCCGAGGACAGGTTACAGACCAGGGCGGAGAGAAAGGAACCGGAGAGGAAGGGGAGATCGCGGGACCAGGGAAGGGGGGAAGGCTCCATTGCTCCACAGCCCCCAGTCCTCCCAGCCTCCCTGCAGCAACGGCTGAGGAAGGAGGAAGGGGAGGCAGGAGAGGAGGCAGAGGCAGCAGTAACCTTGGAGACAGAGCCAGGGAGATGGGTGAGGGGAGACAGAAAGGATGAGGGTTTGCAGCCCAGCAACAAGTCCCCCTGCCAGGCGGGGTGGGTGACAGACAGACCCGAGAGAGTGGTTTCGATGAGCTGGGGGGAGGGGAGAGAGACAAAAGATTCCAGGAAATCTAAAGAAGCCCAGCAGTCAGAATAAGAGAGGTTTTTACGGAGAATCAATTTAAGGAAGAGAGCTCGCTCGCTCGCTCGGGGAGTTTCGGCGATGAACACAGGAGGAGCCAGCTCAGGTGGCTGAAGTGAGGAGGGGCAGGGGGTCAGCCCTGGGCGGAGGGACACGGCAGAGAAATAAACGGTCAAGGAGAGCTGGCTGGCTGGCCTGAGAGCCCTTGGATGCATTCCTGCAGCCACCAGGCCCAGCTGGGGACACTGAGCCGCCCACCCTCCCTCCGAAGCCTGGCTGAGGAAACTTTACATGTATTGGTGCCCCATTGTTTTAGGGGGGAGGAATGTGGGAACAATTAGGCGTGTAACTTCCAACATTCACAGACCAGTAGGGAAGCTGAGGCATATATACAAAGAATGACAAAGGGATAGAGGGACACTCATGGCCAGGGAGGGGAGAGCTTCTCTTAGGGACCATGCTCAAGCCAGACCCTGAAGACTGGGACAGATTGGGGTCTGGGTGAGTTTGGGAAGGTAGGAGCCGGGCAGCAGACAGGACAGGGAAAGCCTGTCTGAGTCCAGGCTGCTGGCCAGCTGTTATCTTGCTCAGGTCCCTTAACTTTGTGCTCTTCCCTCCGTTCACTTCACAGAACTGTTTAAGGATCGTGGGTACCTGTGCCTTGCCTGGCCCCATAAGGAGCTCTCGGTAAATGGTTATCGTTATAAAAAAATAAATAGATGAGCTGCAGCCAGAGTCGGAGCTACGTGGGGAGACCCTGTGTAAAGTAAAATAAGCAGAAAATACTGGCCTACAGTAATAGGAAGTGCTTAGAAATGAGCTGGAGACTGGGGTAAACCTGTAGAGGCCTGGATGATATCAGAGCCTGGCTGCTGGCAGGCACCGACCCATGTGGACTCAGAACTACAGCCGAGAGGAGCCTTCCCCAAAGCACTTGGCAGAGGCCTGGCTGGTACCTACTCAATGGCTGCCTCGATTATCTTTACCAATAAAATATTTGAAAGGGTGGTGGTTTTAAACTGTACCCACAGTTTATTTTGTTTATTTTTGTTTGTTTGTTTTAGAGACCAGGTCTCAATCTCGAGCCAAGGCTAACACACTATGTAGTCCAGGCTGGCCTCAAACTTGTGTTCTTCTTGCCTTGGCCTCCTAAATGCTGGGGTCACAGGCATATATCGCTATCCCCAGCTAATAAACATATATATATATATATTTTTTTTTTTTCAAAATACCTAGATTTTTTTAATGTTCTCTTCCCCAGAATTGATGAATGTCTGGGGTAATGGGAATGTTACTCACTCTGCCTGACCATTGTGCAATATATACATGCATCTAAGCGTCACGTCCACCCCAGAAGTTTGTACAATTATTACACATCAATTAAAATATACAGTAATTAAAGGATTTAATGAAACTTAGTCCCCCTCCAATTGAATGTGACTGGTCTCGGTGACTTACAAGAGGGTGTGGCAGAAGTGAGGTAGCTTCTAATCTTGTAGACACTAGACATTGCAAGGACTGGGACTGTATGTAGCCTATGATAGGGCACTTGCCTGGCATGCCTGAGGCCCTGGCTTTAATTGTGTTCCTAGCACTACCAACAATAATTAATTAATTTTTAAAAACCGACATTGCCGTCCTCTCCCTTAGACTCCTGCACTCTAGGAGAAGCCATGCTCTGGAGACAGGCAGCCTAGAGGTCTGTGTCCCAACAAATGGAGCCCTCCTATCACTGACCAGGACAAACACGTAACCAAGGCCACTCTCGGTCAAGCCCGCAGAGGAGCCCCCAGCCCTGGCTAACATCTTGACTCCAGCCACACCAGAACTGTAGTGCCAAAACCACCTAGCTGAGCCAGTTCCTGATCCCAGACTACACGGGTGACACCGGTGACTGTGTTGATATGCTTTGTGCCGGGATCCTTTGCTAACGCAGCGATGGCCAGCTAACTTGAGGCTGGCGACAGAGCCTGGAGCCACACCTCCCCACTGCCATGGCAGTGACGGACCTGGGCTTGAAACAACTTGGCCTGATCCGCGTCCACTGCAGAGGGATCTGGAGTTGAAGCAGAGACAACCAGGTAGTGCTGACAGCCAATGCTGCCACAGATGGAGTTCTGGATGATACCAGATGGAACAAGCTCTGTGAGGCTAGAGGGCAGGCCAAGGTAAAAGAGGGTACGGTGACTTTCGGTCATCTGGACTCAAACCCTTGTCTTCCCCATAATATCTCTCTGCTTTAGTTTCTCAACTGTAAAATGGTATGAATAAACCTGTCCTGTGGGGTAGTATCCACATGGTTTGCAGAGCCTTAATACATAAAAATCAAAGGAGAAAAAGACCCCACAGCATCGAGGACAAAGTTGGGCCTCTGTGCACCACACTTGGCACCCAACCCTTGAAGCCAGGAGCACAGCTCTCGTTCCCGCTTTTCATTGATTTTACACTCACATGTGGCCCACAGACCGTGGTCTCAGAACCCAACTTCAAAGGGAAGAGAGAGAAGAGAGAAGGAGATGGGGAGATGGGAAGGAGAGAGAGAGGGGAAGGAGAGGAGGGGGAGGAAGGAGTGGAGGAGATGATAGGGAGAAGAGAGAAGGGGAGGAGGGGAGGGGAGTGGAGAGGAGAGGGAGAAGGGGGGATATGTGGCTCAGTGGTAGAACACTTGCCTAGCAGGCTAGAGGCCCTGAGTTTGAGTCTCAGCAAAGGGGGGGGGGGGGCGGGAGAGAAAGGAAAAAAGAATTCCAGTCCTTTTTGTCATATAACATTCTTCCAAATCTTCCAATTTGTGTAAGGAGCTAATCTTGGCCTTGATTGCTTCCATTCTCATCACAACCCTGGGTTCCTCACAGTCATAGTTTCCATGGGGAATGTCCCCCACAGGCTCAGGAGTTGTAATGCTGGGTCCCCAGCAGGTGGTGCTACTGAGACAACATATAACCTTGAAGAGACTGGCGCCTCCCTGGGGGAAGTGGGTCACTGGGGGTGGACCAAGAGGTTTGACACCTGACTCTACTTCCTGTCCAGTCTTGCTTCCTGTTTTGTGGAGGAGAAGAGCCTCAGCCTCCACTCTTACAGGCATGCTTCTCTGCCACAGTGTCTGCACCTCAAGAGGAGACAAAAGCAAGTCCTTTTGTGCCTAAGCTGCTCTTGCAGGTACTTGGTCACAGTGACCACAAAGTAAACAAGACACTCACGGGGACGTGTTCCCTCTGCTACCTCTCCTAGTGTCAGTCTCCTCAACTGTGCTAGCAATAGCTCCAGGTCACCTCACTGGCTGTGAACCTTGGAGATTGTGAGACCAAAATGAGCCATCTTAAAAATAAGACCAAAATGCTTTCACCTAAAAACTAAGGCCTAAGATTTCTCCTTCTAGGAATAGGCCAATAGTTACTGAAACAAGTCAGTCCAGATTCCAGAAACCAGGAAGTGTAAAAGTACAGAGTCACAAGGTAGTCACGAGGTAGTGACTGCCAGACTATGGAATGTTCTCTCCCTGGTTTCCAGGGTAACTGACCATAGAAATGTCCCCACCTGAGGGCAGCCAATGAGAAATGGTGGTGGGCAACCACTCCCTTAGAAGTAAGATTAAGCCATGATTTCTAGAAAGCCCCTAGAAGTGAGCCAATCAGAATTGTACCCATACTAGCACCCCTAAATGATGTAACCTTGTGGCTTTTGCCTTTAAAAACTGAGCTTGCAGACAGGCGGGCACTTCCTCCAGCCTCCACTGCATTGGATGTATTGGACGAAGTCCCTGCCTAGGCTTGTATATCCTGAATTAAACCTTGCTTTTGCATTCCGGCATGCTCGTCTTTGGTGGTCTCTCTGGGGGTTGCGATCTGGGCACAACAGAGATGACCAGGGACAACAGCCTCATAGGCCTTCCTCAGTGTTCCTGATGACTATGACAGTGACAACATTCTCACCCAGGTCTACAATACAAAATGTGCTTTTAGGCACAGATTTTTTTTAACGTATTTTTATTGTTTTTCTTTGTGTATATGTGTATGTGTCTGTGTCCGGATCTGTGTGTGTGAGTGCAGGTGTCTGTGAAGGCCAGAGGCATAAGATCCCCCAGAGCTGGAGTGGCAGGCAGGTGTGAGCTGCCCACTATCAGTACTGGGAACCAAACGCAGGTCATTTATGAGAGTGATCTATGTTCTTAACCGCTGATCCATCACTGCAGCCCCACAGCACAGACTTTAAATAACTCAAGGATTGAGCTCCTTTCACAGAAGGTAGCTGTCTTTGTTAGCATTTTTATTGCTGTGATAAACATCATGACCAAAAGCAACTTAGGATGGGGAGGGTTTATTTCAGCCCACAGTGTGTAGTCCATCACCCACGGAAATGAGGACAGGAACTCAAGTCAGGAACCTGGAGGCAGGAGCTGATGCAGAGTCCATGGAGGGGTGCCACTTATGAGCTTGCTCCCTATGGTTTACTCAGCCTGCTTTCTTACAGTTCCCAGGACCACCAGCCCAGGGGTGGCACTGTCCACAGAGACCTGGGCCTCCCATATTAGTTATCAATAAAGAAAATGCACCAGAGGCTTGCCCCCAGGCCAAACAGGTGGAAGCACTTTCTCAACTGAAATTCCTTCTTCCTAAATAACTCTGGTAACCACAATAATTCACTCATTTGCTGAGGTCTCCATGGGAATTACTTGTTGGGAATCTCAAGAACTTCTTACAGAGGGCATCAATCTGTCCTCTTCCCTGCACATCTGTTGCCTCGCTCCCTCCAGCTTTCTGCAGCTCTGTATTCACTAGTAAACTGCTCACACAAGTGCGTGCCTGAGAAAGAAAGGACACCATGATGGCTACCAGTGACTGTCAAACACAGAATCTAGAATCACCTAGAAGACAAGCCTCTGGGCATGCCTGTAAGGGATTAGTAGATTATGTTAATTGAGATAGAGATGTGAGTGGTACCATTCCAAGGGCTGGAGTCCCAGACTGAATATAGAGAAGAAAGTGGGGATACAGAGATGGCTCAGGGTTAGGGGTGTACTCTCCTACAGAAGACCTGAGTTCAGTTCCCAGCTCTCATGTCAGGCAGCTCGCAGACATCTGAAAATCCAGCTCTGGGGGATCTTACATTGTCTTCTGGCCTCCACGGGCATCTGCACTTGCCTTAGTTAGGGTTTCTATTGATGTGAAGAGACACCATGACCACAGCAACTCTTATAAAGAAGACATTTAATTGGGGTGGCTCGCTTAGAGTTCAGAGGTTCAGTCCATTATCATCATGGTGGGACATAGCCACATGCAGGGAGACATGGTGCTGGAGAAGTAGCTGAGAGTCCTACATCTTGCAGGCGATAGGAAATTGACTCGGTGTCACACTGTGCGAAGCTAGAGCAAAAGAGACCTCAAAGCCTGCCCCCACCGTGACACACTTCCTCCAACAAGAACATGCCTACACACATACCATGCCAACAAAGCCACACCTCCTCATAGTGCCACTCCCTTTGGGGATCACCACAGCACTTCATATGCACATACCTACACACAGACACATCATTTTAGATAATAAATGAACTAAAATAAAAAGGAGAAAGTAGAATGAATGAAAGTATCCATTGCTGTTTCCCGACTATAGATGAATATGGCCAGCCATATCCTGCCACCACATCTTCCCCACCATGACAGACTGCATTCCCTTGAACTAGAAGACAGAATAAATCCTTCCTTCCTTCCTTCCTTCCTTCCTTCCTTCCTTCCTTCCTTGAATTGCTTGTCAGATAGTTTGTCACAGCGGTGAGGAAAGTAACTAATACAGACATACTGGGTGGATGGATAGATGGATAAGTGGATACACGAGGGAATGAATGAGGATAGATGGGTGGATGATGGAGGGTTGGTGGGGGTGGAAAACTTGATGGGGGAATGGATGGGGGTAGATGGATGAATTAATGAATGAGGGATGGGTGGATGGATGGATGATGGATGGGTAGATGGACGGGTAGATGGATGGATGGATGGATGGACGGGTGGGTAGGTGGATGGGGTGGGTACGTAGATAGATGATGAATAGGTAGATAACTGGATGGGATGGGTGGACATATGGCAGGCTGAGTGGGTGATCTGAGAGTGTCCTTTGTTCTAGGGACTGTGCCAGGCCTCAGCCTATTCCTTTCTTGGGTTTCAACATGGACAGAGAAAATTCCTCTCCTGCAGAGAAATGAGAGCAAGGAACACCAACCATCCTACAATTGGTTCTCCATTCTAATCACACCCATTCCTAATGCATTCGTTAACTTCATCTAATTAGGCTGTCCTAGCACCCTAGGAGATGATGAGGGAGGCTGGGCTGATGGAAAGTGAGGAGTTTAGCCAGATCTGGAAACCTGTGCTCTTCATAGTCAGGGGCCCAGTAGCTAGAAGGGATGGAGTCTTAGGGACCTTGGGATAAATATGGAATGGTGCAGGGTGTAGAGCCTCCTCAACAGACTCCACCAGCACCAGCACCACCCTGTCACCACCTCAGGATGCCCAGAGGGGAAATGACAGCTCAATGATTAGATTATCTTGGTGTCATAGAAAGGCCTGGGATAAGTCAAAGCCCCGGACTGAAGAGTCAATTATTACATCTACTGATCTTGTGATCGTGGACAAGGTTTATGATCTCTTTGAGCCTCATTCAATGAGGATGGATTGGATGATCTTATAAGAGCCCTCTCACCTCTCAAGAATCATGGAGTCCTCCCAAGAACTCATAAAGAGATGTGTTCAAAGTCCTTTGGGATCTTGTGATCTAGACCCTGGGAGAGAGACAAAAGAATTCCAACAGAAGCTGGCCACTTATGGGCTTGAAGAGGGCAGGGAAGCCTCCTGGGTCCCCTCCCCAAGACTGTGAGAAGTGCCAAGAAACACACCCTAGCAGATCCTGGAGCCTCGACACCACGGGCTGGAGTTAGCCAGGAGGCTAGGGCACTAGAAGGAGCCCTGAGCATGCCTCACATGTCCCCTCTGCTCATGGAGCTTCCATGCAGTATCTGGTCCCTCCTAGGACCACTGATGCAGGAGATGAAGAGTCAGCATCACTGTCTAGTGCAGTGAGGGGTTTGTGGCCACAGTCTCCTTGCATCAAGTCTTCAACATCCTTGTGCGAGCTCCACTTCAGGTAGGGCCAAGCTGCCAGCCAGTCGCAGCCACAACCTTGAACTCTGAGCCCCATTCTCACTGCTGTGGGACACCAGACAGCCCTGACAGGGACATGGAGCCAGACCAGACTCCCAATATGGACTGTGTGACTCATGGTGCTTCAGTCATATACACCAGGC